AATGATGCATCCGACAAATTGGATTTTGTGATCAAGTTGAAGTATGGTGATATTTTAAATTGTTCGATGCTTGTAGAGACATAGATGATTAGATCGAGAAAGATGATTTTTTATCTTTCCAAATTCAGCTCAGAAGTTGACATTAGTCTTACTTATATTGATAAAGACGATAATATTATAGCATTGGATGATGATGATGTTGAGTTGTATGATGTCGTTATTAATCAGTATTTGAACCTCGTAGAATTAATGTTTAGTTAAAATCTAACGCCAAGGTTGAGTTAGATTTAAATAAAAATAATATATGTTCTACGAATTCAGTGTCATATCTTAATGTTTCTGAGAAACTTTACTCGGTTCCTTAAAAGAAGCTACAACAAGAAAGGTATGATCTTCGATTGAAACTTGTCAAAGACATAAGTTTGCTCGAAGTTATAGATTTTGAGAGAAGCAAGACTTGATTCAAAAAGATGAAGGATAAAGAATTCATATATTTCAAAAATATGTATTGATAGATCCACTAAACACTCAAGCAATCGTTTTGGACAAAGAAATTTTCTTGATAAGCCTACGATTATCACTCCGTAAACTCGATGTATCGCAAATGCTATTAGAGATTTTATATATATTACAAACTTATAATTATATATATTACAATTATAGGAAAGTACTAAGATGATGGTAATAAAAGTTTTATTGATTTAGGAGATGTTAAGATTAGAGTTTGATTAATCTATGTTACATAATCTAGATAAGAATATATTTAAATGTCATGAGTCTAAACTATAAAGAATTATAGGAGTCTAAACTATTAAGATGCTCTCCCTATGAGTGCATGAGGAGCAGCATATAAGCCAGAGAGTATTGGTTAAAGGTAGTGATCAAGTGTCTTTTTATGAAATTATTTTATGTATTAAATTATTCTTGTTGTTTCATTGATGCTTCTTCTGTCTCGTCTCTTTCAATCCTGGTTTGTTTTCAAGTGAGGGACCTCTCTTAATATAAAATAAAGTATTGCATATGTCTAACATGGATATTCCAGACATAATATGTGATGCTAAAATGTTTTTTTTACTGTAGCAGACATCTTGATCTGAATTAGAGTAAATTTTTAATAGAAAAAAGATAGATAATAAACCTCCTATTAAGCCATGCGATGGGATAATATTATGACATGAGAGATTCTGTCACATGAATCGAGAGTCTAAGATGCGTCTCACCCTATATTCTTGGAGTATGTTCAAAACAATGTTATCTTTATAAGTGATGAGTTGGTGTGAAGGTTAAAAGTCTAATGCTATAGTGATAAAATTCACATATATTAATATTTTATAGATATCCGATATTTGTTACTTTTCACACCATGTATTTCGTATGATTTGATGATATTATCTACTGTATTTATGATGTATATATAAAAAACTCTTATGTTAAATAAATGTTGGATCCCACGAGAGAGAGAGTTTGTATGGTTAATGTTATTGACTATGTTGATGAGGAGGAGGAAGAGGACACCTCAAAGAAGAAAACGACGACTCTTTGTTGATTTCAATGATTGAAATGTTGTAACTGAGGCGCATTCTAGGCTTTCTAAAAGTTGGAGTTCCCTCCATTGATTTCAATGGTTCTTCAAGAATTCATTAAATAAATAAATAAATAAATAAAAGTGAGGATCCTTGTTAGCTAAGTATCACCAAACCCTGAGCCGTCTCGAGTAGGTGTCCCTCCCTTTGTGGGTGGGGTGGGGGTGAACACACTGACCGAAAGCCCAATGGGAAGCAACAGAAGAAAAAGAAGAAATAATAAAGCTAATATTAATCAGTGGGATGAAAACTCTCCCTCCCTTGTCAAAGATTAAAAACAAATTAAAAAAAAAAGGTCCAGCTGAAAAGTGAGACGAACAGACAGATTCATCAGCCGAAAAGTATGGTGGATGGGAAGAGAGAAAAAGAAAAAGACATCTTAACTCTCTTGTCCAACATAAAGTTCATCAGCGGAAGAGCAAGAAAGATGAGAATTCCGCCAACTCAAGAACCAGACAGATGACTGGGAAGAAAGAGAAAAGAAAGGTTGCTTTTATCAGTGAGATGAACAAAAGTCCATCAGCTGCTTGAGAGTAGGAAGTGACGAAAGAAAGATAGTCCCATATATATCTTCTCCGACATGAAGTAAGTCCATCCGCTGAAGAATGGTAACTAACAAAGACGAATGGAAAGAGAGGAAAGAAGGTGAAGCGAATTTTCAAAATAATAATAATAATAATAATAAATTTGTTTGGTTTTTTTTGAAATTTTATTGTAATATTTTATCTAATTAATTTTCTTTCTTTCTAATGGATCGATCCTAAATTGATCTACTACTTATAATGTTTTCACACCGATCACAGTATTTTGAGCAATATCAGAAAAACTCTATAACGTAAAATATAAAAAGGATACCGTGTTATAATATTTTTTGTACTACGCCACAATACTTTTCTAGTATTATAAAAACATTATAATATAGTATAAATATAATATTTTTTTATAAAATTTATGCATAAACATCACGTTATAATATTCTATGTTATTTTTAATATTATTAAAAAATTATAATATGACGTAAAAAAATATTGTAACAAAAACGATAATGATAAATCTAAGTATTAGAAAAATAATATTTTTAGGAATTTTTTTTTAAAAAAAGTAGATGTTTTTAGGAAAACAACCTAAAGAATAACTTTTTTTTTTTTTTTTCAGAATTCGTCCAAAAAGATATATATTTATAATTGGATGAAAACTCTCTTTGTCGGAGATGGAAGTGTAAAAGACAGATAGATGCATGGACATGTTCGTTGCATTTGGTGCAGCTATCATGGTCAATAGTCAACATCTAAAAGCATTAAACAATGGCTTTTGTACACATGGTCTACGATGGTTGGGACCCATATAACCCAACATGTGGTTAATTTTTTTGGTTTCCATACAGTTAGTTCTCTTTGGATCTATTTGTGTGAATTATAAATTTCATTAATTAATTAATTAATTATAGAAAAAAAACACACTTCTATTTGTGTGAATTATAAAATAAAATATAAATAGCACTCGCAACATGGAGACGGTAAGCCTACCGACTATGACGGGAGCGGTGAGGTGACGCGCGTTGGTTCGGTCTAGTCCTCCGCCGCGAGGCAAAGCGATGACGCCGAGCCCCGGTGGGGGCACGAACGTGCGAGCACCGAGCCACCGGGGGAGCGGCACGTGCCCTTCTCCCCACGTCGTCCCCCCCCCTCGGCACACTTGTAATCATCACCGCTCTCCCACGTGAAGGCCTTGGTCGCCGTCCCTGGACGTCGCTGTCCGGCTTTTAGGCTTTAGGCATAGGGATGTGGGCGGTGGAGCGGGTGGCGATGCGGACCTGCTTACTAATCATGCAGGCGATCATGTCATTTCCCCCTTCTTTAAGTGATATAATTCTCACGTCAGGCTACATTCACCTGCTTTGTTACTGGTCTCCACGCCGGCTCCAATGGGGCCCGGACGATTGGTCGAATAATAAAGGAGGTAGATGTCACAGTCACTAAATAATTCACTCGTTGAGGATCCGGCCAAATAAACAGGACGCCATTGCCTGGGTTGATTGAATGGTGACTTTTCTTCTGACCACATATGCGTCGCTCTTATTGGTTGATGACCGTGGAGTTCCCAGATCATCCCCGAAAATATCTCCTAGGGTTCAACCGGAACCCGGTTTACTCACATACTGAACCGGACCGACCGGTTCGATCCAGAATGGTGAATTCGATTAGAGACTGGCCACAGTAGCGATTAGTAGGAATTGATATAGTTTTTAATATATTCAAAAGTCGATAGTAAATTTATTAGTCTAAATCAAATTGACTCGTGATATCAGCATCGTTAATCTATGAACACTATGATCTTTGTTTCACTCAATCAGGAATAGTCTGTTGTTTATAAACCAATGACATTTCAAACTTTATTAATTTTAACAATTAGTTTACACATCAACAAATTATTAATATCGTATAAAACAAAACCAATCATTCTTGATGTCACTCGGTAGTAGGAATTTGGGTTTAGTTTTCTAGGATCGAAAGACAAGATTATTGGATCAAATTCACCGAAAATATAAAATTTTCTAGTACGGTAGCATGTATAATATATTTATACGAATTAGACCTATCTATTTATAATATTTTTTTGGATATTGTTGCATACGAGTAGTTAGAACAGAAGAAACTACACGAGTAACCTCCTCGAGAATGAGAAGGAAGTATTAAATCTATAATAAACACGTGAACAGTAGGGAGAGAAAAAAGAAAAAAAATAGATATATATATATATATATATATATATATATATATAATTGAACCTTACCAAATAAAGATTGATTAGTGCGTTTGAGACTCCAACTTATGTATACGCTTCATGTATGTCATTAAATATAATAAATTTAATTTTTTTTTAAAAAAGAAAAAGATATGAATATAGTTATTTTAAATATAAAATATCAATAAATTATAATAAAATAGTTAATATGTTTGTATGCCTCAACGGTGCCAGTAGTAAATTTTAGCCAAGAACAAGATATTTTGTGTGTAGCCCATCTCAACGGTCTGAGCAGCACAAGTCACACAACCGAGAAAATGGCGAGTTCTATTTATTTTTTATTTTGTTGTAAAAAATAAAAATGGTGGCGAGGAAAAAGGAGAAGGAGGGGGGCAAAAACACAGTGATAAGCTGGTGCTGAAGCTTTTACAGTGGCTCCCACATCAAGCTGTTTCAACTGGAGAAGCTTTCATGGTGGTCCCGACGCCCTATCATTCCTCATCAAGTTGTTGGCAAACTTATCCAAATCCCAAGATCAACTAAACCAGCTCCAACTCCTATGTATGTGTGTCTCTCTCTCCCATTACAGTGATTGGTGGTGGTAGATGGGGAGCCTCGGCTAGCCAAGGAGGAAGGGGCGGGCGGGTCATTTTGGTCCTGGAAAAAAAAAGGAATAGCGCTGCCCCCACAAGCAGAGAGAGAGAGAGGGAGAGGGCAGCAGAGCACTTGCGTGCAGGGCTTTTCCACTGCTCTCTCTTCGTCCCTCCTTCGCCCCATATCCCCTCTCTGATTGGGATGGGATCGCAGAAAGGTGAGTGTTTTGTGCTGGGTGGGGGGGGCTGGATGCCATTTGTTTATTCTGGATCATTCTGTTTTTTTCTTCCCTCTTAAAAACTCGTTTTTTGTTGTTGGTGTTGTTGTTGTTGGTGGTAGGGATAATGGCTTTTGCAATCCACAGGCCTCCTCTCACCCTAGCCTTATTCCCCATCATTCTCTCTCAGGAATCTCTCCTTTCTCAAGAATCCCTGAATCAAGATTGCTGCTTTCCCTTCATCACCCCATCCTATCCACCATAACCAACATCGTCAGCTCCAATCCCGTTCTTGCCTGCTTTCCTTTCTACTGGGTCAAAGCCACCAGCTTGGACTCGTAGGAAGTAGGTCTTCTGTCTTTGCCGACTTCTTCTTCTGAGCTTTTCGTGGTGTCTGCTGGGTATTTTGGCTCTGATTCTTGTTTGGAGCTGATAAAGATTTGATCTTGCTGCCGTCCGGTCCGCCCCTTCGTTGATTCCAGGTGGTCACGGTCCAGGAAGTGCTGAGTGATGATGCCTCTTGTGGCTTCTCGATAGCTCCACCATTTCTGTCATTCTTTTTCTTGATTCGCCACCGTCCATCGCTGTCGCCGTCTCCGGACACCAGGTCCAGCAGCCCTCTTCCCCGGCGAGCATCGGAACACCAACCATCTCGGTCGTTCTTCGGGATCAGCCATCGTTTGTCGTTGCCAGCATCATGGCCGTACGTCTGCCGGCACTCCTCATCCTTCCCTTGGTGAGCTCTCTCTCTCTCTCTCTCTCATCCTCTGAGAAAGATGGTTTGCCAGACCGGCATCTGCTCTGTTTGGCAGACTGCTTTTCCATCCTTGTTCCCTTGGATTTCCCTTTCGGGGACTGCCTCGCTCCACCACCTCCAGGTGTCTGACTAATGTGATCGAGTTTGATAACCTCCTCGATTCCATGTTCATCAGATAATTAGAATACCTATCTCCTCCGGCTACAAACAATTTGCAATAGTACACGGTGCAAAAGCTTACCAATGGTTAACTTTCTGAAGATCTTTCCTCATTCTAAGCAGAGAGAGAACTCAGCTTCAATGAACACTATTATTCAGACTACTCATTCTGATATGTGTAAAGTTAAGAATAAGCAATTGAGTGAGTTTAAGCACCAGTATTCTGCAAGATTTGGAAGAATTGGAAAACTTATACGTATGGGAAAACTAGAGAAGAGGTACGCCATGCACCTTCCTGTGCTTGGCTTTCTTGGATGTCTTATTTGCCATAAGAAAGTGAACAATATGTAGGATTTTTATGGTGTTCAAAATTCTAGTGGGATTTATATAGAGAGTTCTTTGTGCATGCTGAATGGAAATGACGTTCAATCACAACTTCTTAACTGTGATTTCATTCCTTAAAGAAGCAAATAAAACTGTTGGCCTTTCTAATGATCTCACTTAGAGGGTAAATAAAAAGAAGTGAGATCTTCAGAAGTTTAGGGCGTCTTCCCCTTTTTATTTTATTTTAATTTCTTTTGGAGGAAAAACCTAAAGTCCCTATTTCATTTCACAATTTAAGAATAAAGTAGATGCCTAGTCCCAAAGAGAAAATTGAAAAAGGACCCCAAACCCAAAAGACAACACATTAAAGATGGATGAGTTGGTACTGTAGGTTGAAACAAGATGTGGCTCTATGTCTTTTCCTACTTGGGCCCCTCACCGTGCCCAATATTAGGTCAATTCTAACATCATTTGTCATGACCCAATCTAAGAATAACTTACCCATTACCTTGTTAAACCTAAACCACTTGCCCCAAAGAGAAAATTGAAAAAGGACCCCAAACCCAAAAGACAACACATTAAAGATGGATGAGTTGGTACTGTAGGTTGAAACAAGATGTGGCTCTATGTCTTTTCCTACTTGGGCTCCTCACCGTGCCCAATATTAGGTCAATTCTAACATCATTTGTCATGACCCAATCTAAGAATAACTTACCCATTACCTTGTTAAACCTAAACCACTTGCCCCAATGATAGGAGACCTATCTAGCTCTTATAAATTCATTTAAGTCTTCTCCCACTTCCAATATGGGATTAAATCAGGATATTCCAACAAATTTGTTGACTATAAACCAGCCATCCTTGCTGTTGGGGAGTTACTCATTGATCTTTTGACATTTCATGCACAAAAAACATCAAGGACAGTTGCATGCCCTTGGTATGCAAAGCATACCTATGAACCGACCAGAAGAATATTCTCAACTTTAGGTGGTATTTTTGATTTTCAATGCCTAAAATGGCAAAACAACAATTATTTTCCTTGGTGCCTGAATTCTTTGAACCAAGCCCTTTAATATGGGAACAAGTAGTTTCTGATTATGGAAGACTTTTACAATTTGGCGAGATAAAGATACCAGGGTAGATTAAGTAGTCAGTAGATATTTTGTTTGTATATATGAATAAAGAAAAGAGATATAGAATTCTGAAGCTTGAAGGTGAGCACCCTGTAGGGAGCTGTAGTTTTGCTCTAAAAACCTTTATCTGAAACAAAATGATTTCTTATACTTGTTTTAAAGGTCAGTAGGTGTATGGTTTTCCAAATTCCCATGGATTTTGATGCAAACTTAGCTCTAGTGACAAGGAATTTTAGACACACACACACACACACACACACACACATATATATATATATATATATATATATATATATATATATATATATATATATATATATATATATATAT